CACCGTGTGCCACTGTGAGAAAACATCCTGACATCCTAAAATCCTGTCAGTGCAGGATTAGACGCAACATGCAAAAGGGATTTTCATTTCCATTTCTCTTTCACATAGGCCAGACAGGTTTCGTGTTGACAGAATCTGCTACTCTAAATAGTCTTTTCTTTTTTGTTTGGATGATGGGTTGAGCTGTTAACAATGACTTTATCTTTGTTCCTTAGTCTTCATGATGCTGTTTTTAATTTTTAATTTTATTTTCAAATGTTCTGAAAAATTGACACCTTCACAAATGGCCTCTAGTGGCAACTGTTTGCATTTTATTTAGGAGCGTAAGAGTAAAGAAGAGTGAAGAAAGTTAAATACAAAAGCACACCACACTTTTCAGATTTTTATAGGTGTAAAATGTTTAAAATCATGTAAAAAAAATGTCCTCATCTTTACAGTTATGTATCACTTTTGCTGGACCACCACAGGGGTCTGCAACCTGCGGCTCTTTGGACTCTCAACTATGACTGTTGTGAAACCAAAAAAGAAATCTTTTTGATTATGAATCCAATGAAAACTGGTCATTTTAGGAGTAAGTTCTTATGCAAAATCTACTTTTAACATCTACAACAGGCTTTCAAAAGTAACTTAACTTCAAACTATGCTGCCTATTTTTCTCAATTTTAAATATTCATTGAAAAGGCTCATCTCATTCTACATTTTATCTTCTTCTGTGCAGTATTCATTTTGTATAAACATCTCAAAATATAAATACACTTTGGTTTACTTTTGCTAGCTTTCGCAGTGACATTTTATGTAGTGCATATTTAGAAACATTTTTGAGCTTTACTTTGTAGCAGCAGGGGTATAAAACCCCAACAAAATACACAGGAGCTTGGGGTGTAACATGACAAAACGGGGAAAGGTGAAGGCAGGTGAATGCTTTTACAAAGCCCCGTAGGACGAAACATTTTTAATCATACTGTTTACTGTTACTGTTTGAGATTCATATAAGAAAACGACAAAATAAAGCTGCCAGCGGGTTTTTACCAGTTGTGAGTTTGTGTATGTGTGTGAAAACATTGAATATAAACTTGATAAAAGCATTTTAAAATCAAAACGGGGAACCTTTGGTGTGTGAATGTGAGCTTGTGTGTGAGAGACGCTGGTGCCACCTGAGCCCAGAGGTCTGAGGCCTGCGTACGTGCCGGCTGTCGCATGTAATCTGTCACAGCTATTATATTAAATGTTCTCTGGGTTGCATGTATGCCTCCAGCCAACGTCCCTGCATCACCATATTCAAAGTAACAGCTGCCCTCAGTGCTTTTCAAAGAGAACCGCAGAGGCTTAGAACGATTTTCTTTTTCCACAACTTGAGTCATCCCATCACTTTGGACAATTTATTTATTGAATTAGAAGTTGTGGTCTTTTGTGTCTCATCTGTTCCCGAGAGAAGTGTAATGTTTGAATTACGTGTTCCATCCTGAAAAAGAAAAAAAATAATAATAATTCTCACATAGAACAACCTTGAACTTTCTTTGTCGACGTCCCGGCTGTCATGCGTCTCGTTTGTTTTTTCTTTTTTCTTTTTTGTTTTTTGTGAGGAGCTGTCAGGATTTTGCCGATGAATCATCAGGCCTTGGTTTGCACAAATACAAAGAGACGCAGTCGCTCTGGGCTGACTCATCCACTCTTTTTTTGTTGTTTTTTTTAAACGGAGTAATTCAGCTCTTTGCCAGAGAAGCTAAAGGAGCTTGTTAAAGCTCATATCTCACAGCAGACTAACCTGACATCACCCAGGGGAAAGATCAACAAGCAGCACAACCCTTCTCTGGGTTCTTTGCCCTTTTTTTCTCTTTTTTTTTGTCAGATAATGAAGAGCTGCGCTACAAGTGGTTTGTCGATATACCTGCCCTGGAGCCTTCCAAAATCATTTAAATTCATGCAGCTTTCATTTCAAATTCATGACAAAAAAAAAAAAAAGTCCAAATTTACCCACTGCAGGCGATGCTGTTCAATTTTACACAGAGAGTTTTGAAACACTGTTAGACAAAAATAAATCAAATTCAAAAATACTTTACTGATTCCAAAGGGAAGTGAAATGTTGTTGTAACTCATATTTTTCAGGGTTCCTTAAGGAATTGTTGAAGTTGCTGTGGGCCAGACAGGACCAGCTGTAGCAGTCTGTGTTACAGCACAGAGACGTTCTGAATTAAAACCTGTTGCAGAGCGCTCTTGACCACAGACTGGGGTAATGTTGCATTTTTCAGCAACACAATGACCCAAAGCGTTTTGCATTTTTTTAATCCAATGTGCCATTAAAATTATATTTACTCAGATCTTTTTATTTATTATAAAATATGTATAAGCACAACTACATCTTTGTTACTAAGTGTTAATAAGTCAATTTTTAAGGTCTAAAATCATTTTTAAACTTCATGGAAACAACTGGGATGCTCTGCTCTATAGAAACAGGGTTTAAGGCAATGATTAATGAGCAAAGGACTGAAAGGGGGTGAGGGGGAATCCCTCATTTCCGCTCTTGAACATGGTGCAGAATCTGTGATGCAGTGAGCCTGTTTCACTTTCAAAACTCTGGTGAGCATTGTTAGAGTTTTGTTGTAAATAATAAACAATAATAAATGAACCCCAAGGCTGATTTTACTAACATAAACAAACTTAAAGAAATTTTAGATTTTAAATAAAATGCATAAAATACTAGTAAAATTACTTTCACAGCTGGTACTCCACATAAAACCTGAATAATTCATTTTGAAATATGATGGATCAACTGGGCTCCATAGTTATTTTCCTTTCTTTTATTACAGTGTCGTTATATTTCTTACCACCAGAGGGCGGCAAAGTGTGTGCCAGTTACATAAATGCGCCGAAGTAATCAGGGATTTTAAAACTTAAAACGACAGTCAGATGTAAAGTAAAACAACGAGCATGTATTAGATCATAATACACAAATTTCTTTACAAATAAACATATTTTAATCTATAAAAGAAATATATTTAATCTATGCCTTTAAGACATCTTTATCAGTTTCTCCTTCCAGTTTACTTCCGCAAATTATGATGAGCACATACTGTTTTCCTGTTTTGCTCCCTCAGCCATGAGCGTGACTGGGTGAAGTGAAATCCAGAACATTCTTTAAACCGCACTCAGCACTACAGAACCTGGACTTCACTGTCACTGTTTTTTACTTTCATTCGGCTCCATGCTGCTGTCTCCTTTTCTCATCCCTTCTCTCTATTTCAAAAGCTTTTCCCACCACAGAATGACTGTGAGGTCATTCATCTCAAACCTGAGCAGCTCACTGTGAACTCTGCAAGAAGGGGATGAGTAAGAAAAAAAACTGAAATAATCAACTTTAAAAAAGAAAACACTCTCTGTATCCTCTTTTTTCCTGACTTTTTTCATTATTTTTTGTAACTATAAATAAGAATGAAGCTCATAGTTTTACCATTTTATTAGCAGAGCTGAAATATTTATCAGTCTGTTGTCCAAAGTGGCTTTATATTTATTTTATAGTGGCTTTTGAACCAATGGGAGGATAACATTTTCAATTACCTTTGTTTGAAATGTTTCTGCTGTCTGAAGAGCCAAAATGCTTCACTGTTTTATAAAAGTACTTTGCCTTAGGCTGGACAGGGAAGCTAATGGGCAATCTGTCTATCTTACATTAATAGAAAAGCTCAATAAAATCTAATAGTAGAGGGAAAAATTGCTCCCCGGCTTTCCAAAGGAGCTGCAAATGTTCACAATGTCCAATGGGAAAATCTAAATAAACTCCAAGCATACAGCCTGGGGTGCAAAGCAGATAAAATTACATTCATGTGCAAGAGTGACCCACCCAAAGTCCCCACATGAAACTTCATTAAAAATCTATACCAAGACTTATAAACTGATGTTTATCCAATATATCGATGCTCTCCGTTACCAAAGCACTGCGAAATGTTTCAGCCTCTAGTTTATCTCTCGATGACTTTCTACAGCTGGTTCCAAAAAGTACTGCCTTTATTGGGGTGAATGAACTCCACTGCACAGGAGACAGTTTTCTGTTTATGCAGCTTATTCAAGCCATGAATCATTTTTCACTGACTTCACAGTCTGTGTGGATCTATTAAAATTCCTAAAAAGTTTATGGATGTAATGTGACAAAAAGTGGGGGGAGTGGGGGTTCAATTGGGGCAGCATATATGCACGTTTGATGCTGACAACATGATATTATGCTCTTGTCTGCTACAATGACCTGTGGTCTGCACAGTAAGTGTTGTATCCAAAACCAAACCATGCACTCTTCGGTTACTTAGTAGCTTAATGCCTTAACACAAGAAGCAAGAAAAGGAGGCTGGACAGAAAAAGGAAAAAATGCAATAAATTAAATTAAATAAGATTAATAAAAACGTAACAGTTGCTCTGATGTGAAGTTAATTATATTGTCTTATTGTTCGTTTTAAATCAGCATGATTTTTTTTAACTACAGCATTAATTTCAATTATGTCTACTCGATCTACTCGCTCACAAACATTTCCCGCATAGACAACCTTTGTGTCAGCATACTCATCACTTTATTTTTCCGTGTTAACGACACGTCCATTCAATATATGTCATTAAAATACATGTATCATTAAGCAGACAGTGTCTACATCATCATCTATACTACAATTTTTAAAAATAAAATCCTAAAAAAACACTTAGCCTTTTTCTCTCTTCTGCTAACGTGAATTGGCGCTAAAGAAACACATCAAAGTCATTTATTCTCGCAATATTGGCACTATATGGATACGCTGAATTGAATTGAACTTTGCATGATTTGTGATTAGAAATAACTTAAATTAAGCAAAAAAAGGAAGCGTATGTAAAATGCTTCGCACGTTTTAATGGCTTATTTATCAGCTTGAACACCGTAATGAAGGGGCTTTTAGTTTGAAAGTCCTCACGTTGGGAGACAAATGCGCGTAGAAAAGTACAGCGGGGCCCCTCCCTCTCAGTCCATGAGGCTGATTTGGCTCCAGATATAAACACAGAGCTGCTGTTCTTCGCTTCTCCTCACTTTCCTCTCAAGCTGCGCGCAGTTTGTTCCTAAAGACCGAGGCGGAGGGAGAAAAACACCAGGAGGGGACGATTCCTGGCGCATTCCCAGGATGGAGGTAGAAACTATTTAAATCTCTGTTGCAGCCTTCTCTTTACAACCAGATGTGTTTACATTAAAGTGGAATTGAGATTGATGATTGAAGTTGAAGTGTTTAAAAAATACTGCTTTAATATTTTTTTTGGAAGAGTTAAGATTGTTTTCTTTTAATATTTAACAGTTTTATATGGTTGAAGAGTTATGGATCAATGAGAGCATATACGATATCAATGCTTTTCACATTATTTTTGGCTTCTTATGCAAAGCAGCACATGAAATCCAAATAATGACACATTAACACACATTTAGGGGAGAGAAGATTTACTGAAAACTTAATAAGTTGAGATGCTCAGTGAGTTTCAGACCAATCTTGTAGCGCATTACCAAAACCTAAGTGGAAGTAAAAGGAGATGACAGAGCATCTTTTATGAATTCCTCAAGTTACATAAACCTGCCCAGCGTCCCCTCTTCCTCTGAAGTGCAGAAGCTGAAACAGAAAGGCTGTTTCTTCTGAGTAGAGGAAATGTATGTATGGCTTGCTCATAGTTTTTGAGAGTCTCCTCCCTGTTTAAAAAGAGAAGCTCCCTCAGACCTTTCACATCACTCTCAAGAGTTTCTTGCAACGTGAAAAGTAGGAAGAGAAACACCCAATTTCTTTCCTCCACAGCACATTAGGAAGTGCGGAAGTAATCTGCAAAACTGCTCCCACAAAACAAAAACCACTCAGTTTGAGGTTAAGGCTCTGCTTTGCTTCTCCTTAGACTCTGAACTGCATGTAGAAGCAGATCCGAGGTGGGCTTAGATTTTATTCGTAAAGTCTTTTTCAGCTGAAGATGCGCAAATTATGCCTGAATCATGGAGACCTTCAGATGTTTTTATTAGGATGACATATGATCCATAGCTGTTCTATCAGTTGAAGGATGCATAACTTTTGTTTTCATTAACTCTGGACAAATATTGAGCGGTCAGCAAATTCTCCCACCTGAGCTGTGGATGTTTGCAGCTCCTCTAGAGTTAACATGAAGAATTTTTTACACAAAACTAACATGGAGGGACTGTCAGAATATTAAGGATTTTTGTTGATCAGAAGATTTTGAATGTTTCTCTCAGTTTCCGTCCGAGTAGTTTATGTTTATCAAATCTGACACAATCGACCAACCTTCCTATTTTTCCTCATACTGGAACATCGACGTGATTCCAGACAAACTGGACATTTATAGAGTTTTGAGTGGGCACCTGAGAATTTTCCACAGGGGAAGATGTCATGCTGTGGTGCTTTTCTCCTTCTTCTTCTTCTTCTTGTTCTTGTTCTTCTTCTTCTTCTTCTTCTTCTTCGATGGAAACACTCCACCACAAGTGGGGCAGGGAGTATTTTGGAGATACTTTGCCAACCATCTGGCGAGCACATTTATTATGTAATGCATAGTAAAGTCAATGTATAACAGCCAGTGCCAGCTGCACTGCTAATGAGTTAGTTTTTCCCTTTGCTGCTCTGCTGCACTACGTCATCCGAATGGTGTCAAAGCGCGATTATAAACAGGTACTCTTAGCTGTTCTCGCATAATAAAAGTTCCTCATCACTGGAGCAAATAAGACTGCATTTTGGGCTGATTCATTGCAGGGTTACTCTTTTACCTTTGAGAAGATAAAAAACAATATCTAACTTTACTGAGTTATGATGAATATCTGCAAATCACACATTGACATGAGCCATCCAGCGATGTCATATGGCACTGATGTTTCCTGTATTTTGTAGGATAGTCTTGCTTTTTTTTCTCTCTCTCTCTCTTTCTTTCTCTCTGAGAATATTTGCAAACTTATGTTCACACATCTTAACTGTATTCTGCTCTGATGTAAGCTGTGGAAAATGCCCCAAAGGACACAATTACATGCTTTTTCCCAAACTCTTTGTGTTTTCTCTGCAGTATTTCTCATGCTGTCTACAACAGTTTCCCAGAAGATAACCTGAAATAGCTTTCTGTCTTCTTTTGCTGAACACTTTTGTCACTTTGGTCCTGTTTCACTGATTGTTTGCATTCCATGTCTCCAGACAGGTACAGATTTGCACAGCAAAAAAAGAAACTTTAAAAAGATAGCACCAAGGTGTTTTGTTTTGTTTTTTACAAAACATACAAAGCAGTAAAAGAAGATGGTGCAGACTTTGAAAACACAAAGAAGCTTAGGAAGTGTTACCATGTGGGATAAAATGTGTTCAATTTGTTTTTCAACCTAATAAGGGATTCAAATGCCTTGGCTTGACAAATTGTTAGTGTAAGCTTCGAAGTAAAGTCTCAGAAATGGTTTATTTACATTCTGCATTACTAAGTCGCTTAAATTCTGCAGTGTTATGATGGGATGTCTCAATTTCTTGCCCCAAATACTAACCTGAGTCAGTTAAAGTGATTCAATACCATGTATAGATTTGACAACCCAGTAACTTTACAGTGTATTAAAACAGCACATAGCATCAGTATTATAAGATCTACATGTGGTCTTAGTATTTTTGAATGTGCAGCATCTTCCTCACTGCATCATCCATTTTACATGACAACAAAAAATTTTTGTCCCATTTGAAGTAGATGGGATCATAGCAGAGGAGCTTGTTTTTTGTTGTTGTTTTTTACCACAGACTTTGTGTCTCATGTTATATTATGAGGGTTTGGCGGTAGTTTTAACAAATATGTAAAAAAATATATCTTATAAAAGTTACATGCTGCATCTTTGAAATTAATCTGGACATTTCCCAAGGAACAAACAAAAAGCCATGCAGTAAATAAATCAAGCATAAAGAACTCAACGGTCTTGGCACCCAAAACAGAAATAAACTACTGCCGTGGGTTTTTTTATTTTTTTATTTTTTTATTTTTTTTTTTTTTTTTTTTCTTTTTTTTTTAAAAAAAAAAAAAAAAAAAAAAAAAAAACATGTGTTGCTCTGTCAGGGCCTGTTGCTGTGACTGGACACTTTAAGAGCCCAAAGCAGCATGTGGAGCAGAGAGATACAGGAGGTGGGTTATGAACAAGATAACACAAGAAAAACACCCCTGCTGCTGCCATTCATGAATTAATCCAACAGAAAGATGCACAGTTTCATTTAAACATAGAATTTATATGCATTATCTATCAAAATCACAATTTTTGGATGAGCAACATTGTTGTCGTTAAATATTTGTTTGTATTTGAGCTCCTCATAGCCAGTTCTAAATGAAGAAATAGGTTAATTTAGTCGGAAAGAACCCCTGATAATTCTGACTAAGAGTAGGTGGAAATGACTAAAACAGACTTCATAAGTTCATAAATGACTTTCAGATCTCCCTACAGAGCAGTTAGCCCACACTGCCTGCACCACCCACTTCTAATTTTGGCATCTTGCCATTCTTCTTCCTTTTTTGGCAGAAAGGAGTGTAAAGATAAAGGCTGCAAGCTGCTACTTGTTTGCAAACACCAAACCATTTCACCTCCTGGCCATTTTTAACATTTTAATTGATACAATCTGCAAAGATATAGTTATCCTTGTTAAAACTTTTAATGAGTATAAAAGGAGATTTTAGGTCATTGTGGTCTGGACGAGCGCTGCCTCTTGCAGGTGTAACGTTGATGTTTTCTGTAATCAGTGTGCAATCATAAGGTTTTCTAATCACAAAACGTTGACTTTTTTCTCCGATGGGCATCTGAGAGCCGTATGGGTGCTTTTTATCATTTCTACCTGTAACCTTTCAGTTTCAACAAAGCCTACAACCCTTTAACTTAAAAATGTAGTGGTGGTTAAGGGGATAAAACATTTCCATTTTCCATCAGAGCAGGATTTGTCTCTAATATTAGTGGTTTCTAAAAGACTGTCTTTTGGAATAAGGCTTCTTCCTCTCTGAGTGGCTTTTTCGCCCATGTCAATGTGGATAATAACTCTCTCTCCTACCAGCTTCCCATACTGTTTATACTTGTATCAAAGGATGAAGTGCTTTTCTTATGATGTCTGTTTGAAGTGTTGCCTTAAAATACATCCAGTCATGCCTCCATGTATCTCAAACATTATGAATTATCTTCATAAACATGTGAGAATATGTAAATATCTAGTTTCACCTTTACATTAAAACTATCCAAGCTGTTCTTGGTGTGTATACCATCATCCTGTTTCTATTTTCAGGTCATCACAGTTATTTATTCTTCACTTTGTGATTTTTTTTTTTTTTTTAATATATTTTATTATTTGACTAGCACACAGTACCAGCCTGTGCTAGTAGCACCTCCCTGTTACCTCGGGGCTGCAGACTCTGATGGATGAGTTTAGCTCATCCACTGGTGAAGGACTACATTGTAAGAACTGTGGAAAAGAGAAAATTTCACTTGAGGCCTGGTTTAAAAACACCTCATGTTTTCCTGGAAAGGCAGCAGGCAACAGAAGTGCCAGTTTCTCTGAAACAAGTGCTGAGGCCAGAAGGAGTTGTTCTCTGTCATTGTTTCCCTACGGCAGGACTTGCTGAAATGCAAAAGCTGAAGCTGCAGAGACCATATGAAAGCATAATGCTCTGTCTGCTAATCTGAATAAGATCTGGCTGAGCAATTGTCTGCTTTACTTCATTCTAACTAAGAGATTTCCAGAGGGTTTTAATTTCAGAGAAGCATCCACGATCTTGCAGATTATCATCAGGCTCATGATAGATTGCGGAGATGGCGGCTCTTTGACTGCTGGTGGATATGTAGACGTCTGCTGAGCCCTGATATCATGTGCCTCTTCCCCCCTGCCTCTGTGAACATGAATTGCAGTAAGAAAAGAAAGCAAACTTTGTGTGGACAGTCTGGCTCTTCTTCTTTCGCAGCTGATGGTCACACAGTAAACCTCATGCTTTCATCCACAGTCTGGAATTAAGATATTGGTTGCGCACATCATTAAACATTTGCTATGTCTATCTGAATCTAGACATCTCAGATGCTGATCCGAGTCATTTAAAAATAGGCATTTGCCCACACCGAGTCCCAGTCCAATGTTTTGCTAAAAAGTCAGTAACCGATGGCATTCTGGATTCTACTTTCTTTGTCTAGATTTTGCCGTATCAATGCTTAGCGAATAAACCTACTTTAATGTTCTGAAAACGCATCACCTAAGCTCCACCTATCTTTAGCTTATGTTTATAAAATGACGTCACATTTTGACACAAAAAACTGCAGTATTCAGGTGTTTTCATGTCAAAAAAACCTGAAAAACCTGTTTACCAACTCACCTGTGGGGGGCGCTGCACCAAGAACCACTGAAAGAAGCAACACGGAAACTTCTGAAGAAGTCACTGAGCACGATTTCATCCTGTATGAAAAGTAAGCAAAAATTGAGTAGCAGCAGATTTTAGCAGTTGGAGGATTTCTCTTTTGTCGTTGGTAAAAAAAAAAAAAGACCATGAGCCATTTCTCCCAGTAGCGCTACACTGATGTGGATTTTATTTTGTTTTTATTTACCCAGATTGCCCTGTGCTACAGTCCTCTTCCTGCTTTTGGAGCAGTCTCCTGTCAGCCTGGCATTATCTTTTGAACCGCACCAAAGTTAACTTCAACCAAAGTTTGACTTTTTTTTTTGTCTACATTAAAATTCGATTGCACATTCACACTTCCACAAATGAACCGGAGTTTCCAAGCAACCAAACTAGGGTTTGGTTAAAATGAACTAAACGGGGTCAGTGTGAATCTAGACCCTTAATTAACGTTTGCCTCACTCTGATAAATATTTTTGATGTGACACAGTTGCTAGGTTTATTATAACATGTTTACTATGTGTTTTGATCTGACTTGTTGATAAATTGCCTCTTTACATACTTCAGTCTAGTTCCACTTAGCTATGTGAACAAAAATGAAAAGATTGTTCCCCACAAATTTTATCCCTGGCTTTGTACTTTCTAAAATGTAATGATTAATGTTTCAGCTGTGTGCAAACCTGACAGACATGGTCTGACTTGTATTTATCACTCAGTATGCCCAAATTAGCTCTAGGTTTATGCTTAGGCTTGTCTCACGGGATGGAAGTCTCCAGTTTTTTTTTTTTTTTTCCTTTATTAACCTGCATTTAACTTTTTTCTTTGGTTAAGAAAAGTGTTCCTATATCATAATATTGCGTCCACATCTCCCTTGTCTGATGATGTGCAAAATTTAGATATTAGCACTTTTGCTAAGTGCTAATATTTGCTACGTGCTAATATTTGCCAAGTGCTAATAAGTGAGCTGTTGCCGTTCACATGACTCCTCTGAATGCTTAAAGAAGAATTTCAACCATCTCCTTGTTTAGGCATGCTCAGTTGCTCCATATGCTGAATTACAACATGCTTCAGATGTGGTCTAGGGACACTCGGAGGAGCAGGGGGGGTTACAAAGCAGAGTTGCTTGAACAGCTCTGGGGCTTTTTCCCAGGCCTTGCGCCCCCAAAAATAGTCTGATCTGATCTGTCTTGTAGAGAAACATAGTTTCCCACTCTTTCACAGCCAAGCTTGGGGTCCCAGCTGAGTGAAACGTGTGCAGTACTGATAACCAACTCTTTATTTCCATTTAAGGTCTATTGTTATCTGTTTTGACTTCTCTGGGACAAAAATACTAAGTGAGATTGATCGTGAATGTAGCAAAAGTTTTGTTTCATGTTTTCTTTACATGACTGTATTTTACACCATGCTGTACCCACCATGTTGTGGGCAGTTAGTTTGTTCATATGGGAATTGTGAAGAGACTCATCCCATAGAAAGTGAATTCCCCAGTTGCTCCCATGTAATTTAAAGAGGCTTGTGGGATATCCCATCCACGGAACATTTACTTTTTATCTGAAAGATTTGTTTACTTTCAGACAACTTACCATAAATTGCTGATTCCCACTTCCACCGTTAATTATAATCTGACCATTAGAATAAAGCTTTTTTTTTTCTTTTTTTAAAAAAAAGAATTTGAACAAAATATGCATATTTTTAAATGTGAAACAAACCAAATCAATGGTTTGACTGACTTCTGAACCCTTGTCCTGTTAGTTATGCCCTCCACTGAGTTATGGCTTTACACAGATTTAAATAACTCGTGACCATTGATTAGAAGAATTACAAGCATTTGCAATTTGTTCAACTGATAGATTTCAGATACGGAGCTGCACAAAAGACTGTTACCAAGGCAAACCAGACGCCTGATGTTCTTCATAATTTTTGAAATCAGGAGAAGCTTGGCTTTTCTATGGCTCAGTCACTCATGTTAAGTTTTCAACCGAACATATGTCAGAAATTTACAAATTAATATAAAGCAACCACTAATGTTTTCTTCTATCTCTTCTAGCATTCATTTTTCTTCCGTCCATCTTTTAATCACCTCTAGCTTTCCTGTTTCCACTACTACAGAAATGCACCCCCACAGCATGATGATACCAATACTATGCTTCAGCAATGGAATGGTGTGTTCAGTGTGAGTTGCAGGTGAAGTTGGTTCTTTAATCCAACTTCTGAGGCCTTCACAGAACAGCTGCTTTTATTCTAAAATTAAATTATAAAAATGTTTAATTTACTAATTAGGTGACTTTTTGAGCACTGGATTTTATTTAGCGGTATCTCAGTAAAGGGAACTGAGTAACTTTTTTTCTTTTTTCCACTCCACTCATTTTAAAGTACCTGTTTATCATTTCCCATCATTATAGATGACTAAGCTTTTCTTCACCCCAGACATCTCACCGGCGACTAAAACAAAGAGCCCTGTTTCCTTTGGCTGTGCAGTTGTGATTTGGGTTTTCTCTGACTGCGTTTGTTTTGGAAGGACAGGAAAGAGTTAACAATTGAAACTTACAAAATAACAAGGTTGGCGGGGGGGATGGAGGGCGTCTGGTAATTACTGCTTATCAAATATGAGGAAGGAGAGTTTAGGAAAAAGTTTGGATGTGGAGCGGGACAACAGAGGAGTCCAAGCAGACGTTTCACTGTGTTTGGGTGGAGGGAGCGAGTTGGTGAGGTCATGCTGAGAACAAGAGAAGCAAAAGAAAATAAAGTGTTGCGATTAACCTGGTATGTGTGTTTGTGACGCTTGGGAGATCCATGTTTTTCTGGGCGCTGGTCCAGAATGTGCCGAGGGGAGGCGGCGGGAATGACGGAGTGGAAATGCCCACTCAGGAAACACGACAGAAGTGGCAGCTGCGAGCAGACAGCCACAAGTTTCTTAATGATGTATAAAAGTAAAATGGAAATGTGACATAGTGTGAAAGTTACTGATTGAAAGGGAGTGACCACACAAGCAAGATGCAAATCATTTAATGGCAACATAATGCATGAGAATTTCCACAAGCTCAGAACAATTTGACTACAAACTCATGGAAACAAAAAAACCATTAGCAGTTTAAACGACGGAGCGGGGACAAGAAAACAAAACTAATCAAATTAATAGAAGAAAATCCTAAAATTACAAGTCATAAAATTCCCGCTACGCTCTTGTAGTATTATGACTTTATTGCCAAAATACCGATTTTATTCTGGTATTAATTTAACTTCATTAGTGTACAACTTTATTCTTGTAATATTATGACTACACTTCATTCTCAAAATATTACAATATTTTTTATAGTATTTATTGTCATTGTAAAATGACTTTATTTTCATAATATTACAACTTTACTCTTGTAATCTTCATGAGTTGATTATTCTTGTATTTTTTAGTATGCTCTAGTACTCCATCGTGTTATAGAAATAAATGAAGAGAGGAGAAATTTAACTTATTAAAAAAATATATAATTTTTTTTAATTTTATTTAAAAAGTAACAAAATATTTTAACTTTATTAAAAAAAATAACATTAATTTTATTTTTCAAATTTTTTTATTTTTCTTAGTATGCCATAATACACCATCGTGTTATAGAAATAAATGAAGAGAGGAGAAATTGATGCACATTCTACTCCGACGCCAACTTATCATTCAGGCTCAGATATGTGCAGAGTTACTGACCCTCAAAGGGAAGTGCGGAGGAGGGCGGTGCAGAAATCAGTATGGGAACAGCGGGAGATGGAGAAAGTGAAGGGGCCGAGGCAGTGATAACAGCGTGAAGCAGCGAGGACATGCAGGTCCCTACTGTCACAGGCTGCAGCATGATGCTGACCAGCTGCAGGGCGAAGGGCTCACTTCCTGTCGCGCTTCAAGAGAGTTCCTCCGAGGACGGCGCCAAAACCCACCAAACTGCTGCTACAATCCTTTTCCCCCAACCCCTCAAAGTCACCTGATGTCTGCATTTCTCACTTTGCTTGCTTTTTCTTTTGACGGAGAAGAGGAAGCGAAACATTTTTACTGAAGAATGTGAGTGTGGTTTCAAGGTTTTTTGTGAATTCAGTCAAAAATGGTTTATGTCACGGTCTCTTTTCAATCTGACATTTGGATTTTGTCTTTCATCAAACATGGCAAAATGTGGAAAAAGAATATTGTACACTTCAAGTAAAACTTACGCCACAGTTGCTTAATTATTTATGTCATAACTAACCACTTGCTAATTTCCTGTCTCTTATTCTGGTTGCACAATTCAGAAACTTCAATCTTCTTTTGATGAAGATATGTTATGTTGTTGGATGTTGTATTTGTTTTTTTCATGCTGAAAGATGATGTTTCTCTTCATCTTAAGCTTTCCAGCTGGTTCCCCTCCTCCATCTTGATGACATTCTCATTTCGAAGTGAAAAGTTAGAAATGAGAATTTTACCTTTGTTATGGTGATCTAGTGACAATGTGCAGTCTATTCTAAACCTACAGTTAAGAATATACCAACAAGCTTAACTTTGGTTTAACTTTACCACATATTTATGGTAGATGTTAAATTTGTATTTGAACAATGCAAAGTGAAAGAAAAGAATGGAGCTCCAACTTCAAAAAAATGTTAACTGGTCACAAGATGGTCAAACTTACTTTGTTTGCTAAAGCATTTGAAGATCAGCCTCTCGGGCCACAAGACAAATGTGAAAATTTCCCTGAATTTTGCTTATTCACAAACAGTTTTATTAATTTTTACTTTAATATGAATTAAAAACTTAACTAAAACTCCTTTATTAATCCAAGATGAGGCTCTTCTGTTACATATTTAACATAGTTACTCCTAACTCTGACCTAGAATGATTCTAGGTGTCTTTTTATTTTTTTTATTTTAATATAAAAACAGTCACTTTATCTAGAGATATCATTGGCAAACCTCCCTTGAAAAAAAAGAAAGATTCTTAATGTCAATTGTGACTTCTCAAATGAAGACACTTTCTCTAAGCTTGAATGCAGCTTTTCTGCAGAAGCACCCAAGGTTGGTTTCGCAATATGAGCAACTAAGTTCATGTTAGTCGCTCATATTGATTAAACTTCTGATGTTTAATGTCACATATATTAAACATAATATATTTAAAAGAATGGGACCTAAAATGGTTCCTTGTGGACTTCCTGTAGTCATCTATTTTTAAGGAAAACACCTAATGCTTTGTGACACAACACACTTTTCACAGCTTATGATTCAAACTATTATGACCGCTGAAGATTAGGATGTTCACATTAATGTTTTTGAACACCATGTGTCTTTTTTATTTTTGAGTAATCGTTAGATAATCCTGAGGGTTTTGTGTTGAATTCTTGTTTTTCCTGAAGGATTCTCCATCCAAGCCGTCTGTGGCTGAGCTGGCCGGAAAGTTAAAGGGTCACATTATGCCAATGCCCAACTCAAATGATGAGGTAACCATCTAGCCAAACGGTTGTTTAATAAAAACATCTTCAGTATTCTGACTCATAACCTGTTTATACTCAGAAGGTTTTCTGCTTTTTTTCCCCCTCTCTTCCTGCAGTTGCCTTTTCGAAGACGACCTCCTTGTTCTCTAAAGTTACAGAATCCTACACAAGATAAGGAAGTGTCGGATGTGGGTAAACTTGGTTCCTCTGTTGATTTATGTGCTGTCAGCTTCCTGAATTTTGGGAAGACTTGAGTTTGTCTCAGTCTTCTCACAACTTGATGATTAAATCAAATCTGTGCTTTCATTTAGTTTTAAGTCTGCGTTTAAGAGTACAACATGTTTTGTTGAAAAACAATTTAGGCTGTGATGTGTATATATTTTCAGAGTAATCATTTTCAAGATAAATATCTAAATGTGGCACACACTCTACACCTATTTACAATACAAGGAAAAATGTGACTTAAATTAAACGATCAGAGCAAAAATAATGCTTCTTTACATATTCATTATTTTCCTTGCACCAACATCATTTTCACATAATTTATTCTCCATTTTATTTATTTACAGTGAAGCATACATCTTTTTCAGCAATACACATCATGTTTTATTACTCTTTGAATGTATTTAAGTAAGTTCTTGTCATAATAAAGTTAACTTTTTGAGTATAAACATATTTGATCTCAAAATTTCCAGTAAAGGACACAAATCATGGATAAAGTCGAATCTTAATCAAAATGAAAAGCAGTTATTTTGTTTGGAATGCCAGGCATCTTTCAGTCAATCCTTTGTTTGAGCAACCTGGGTGGCATTTTCGGAAGCTTTTTTATACCTTCAAGCCAGGCTAAAGTCATATTTCCTTCCGAGAGTCTCTGAGTAAATCAGACATGCATTTGTCACAACACGCCTCAGTTACTGTAAGTCCATGTGTAAGGAGGGCATTAATCAGCTGGTTCAACTTTTGACTGGCTCCAGGAAACGGCATTTAACTCCGGTTGCAGCCACACTCCACTGGCTTCCTGTCACCTACAGAAACTAAAATTAGGATTTTGTTATTTTTTCAGGGTTACTAATGCTCCACAAAGTTTTATTTGGAACAAAAAGGTCATATACCCAGACTCAAGTTTACTCTGTGGCTTTCAACTCGGCTGCAGCTTCACTTTTTTTTTCTTTTTAACTTTGTATGTTCACAATTTATTTATCTCTATTACAGTATTGTTTGATTAACTAATTTTACTATTTTTACACATTTAATTTGATTCCTATCAATATCTTAATTATTATTTTTGTAGTTGTTTTTAATCACGTTGGTGCTTAAACTCACTTGAGATTAACAATGTTTCCGTATTTATCGCTGATGGTGACAGTTTTTATTTTTCTTTTTTTTCCAGACCTCTGTCTCTCCCACCACCTTTAAAACAAAGAACTCCTCCATCATTGAGAAACTGCAGGTACAACCTTAGACACTCTTGATTGTTTTACACTGTATAATCCACTACAGGAAGTGAGGATGTTTAAATCATTACTGCCCCCTACTGGTGCATTAGCTCATGACATTTTGGGAAGCAAGGGGTGGGGATTTTCTTCCCCGATGCCACAATCGGCTCAGATTAATGGCCTAATGGGATCTTGGGCCACTGAGGCTCTGGTGAGCCTCCAACTCGTCACTTTAGATCTTTTAGTTAGTTGTTCCCACAGCTAGCAGCCATGGGACAAAAAGGCTGCAGATTCTCCCTCTTCCTCTTCTCCCCGGTTCAGGTAGGACACATCAGCGATCTTGACTCAGGGATGCTTTTAGACTTTTAGATGCACATAAAGATGGAATGACATGCAGATAAGTGAAGTGTGATGAATGACTGCAGATCTTGAGGACTAGAGTTGGGCAGCCCTGTCTTTTGGGAGGCAGATGATTTCTCAAATTGATTGGTCAGGATTTATTTGTTACTGGAGTTTGTTTTGTTAGTCTGCTTTAAAAGTGGAGAGCTAGGATAATAGTGTGTTTTGGAACCTTTTATTTTGTATTTGTTTATCGTTCACTTTTGTTGAAATGCTCACATTTTCATTTTATCACTCTCAAATTGGACTTTCCAGTACAGAATCACATCCAGAATCCCCAGCAGATAATCACGCGTCACTCCTCTCCGCAGGCCAACCTCGCTCTGTCCCCCACAGCTCTTCTGCCTTCGCCCAAAGGTTCAGATGTGAAGCTGCAGCCAGCACAGTTGTCGCCCTCCACGCCCTGCTCGCCCCTGAGCCCCACCCTGCGACCGCTGCATCTGTCCAGCGAAGACGAGGATCCTGTTAGCTTCGACAGCCCACCTGAAGGGACCCCGCTGCCAAGCTTTAATAAGGTAAACCCGTCATCAGGCATGAACAGCATAGATAGATCCAGTTGTTGTTGCTCTGATCCACCCACAACATATTTATTTTTCATCCATTATGAGTCCTAGATTACTTGTGACCTTATTTGAATTGTTGTATTTGAATTAATGAGACAAACTGAGCCAATGATTGAAAAAAAAAAAAACATAGTAAGTCGAAAATAATAAGTCGAAGTATTACTCACGCTACTTGGTTGTGACGACACAGCGAGGCACATGCATATTGTCCTCACAGACGCTCTTCTGATTGGCCGACGTGCGTCTTCTGTTTAAGCAGGTCTCAGATAAGCTGGACAAGATGGTGGATTGAAGAAAATAATCCACTTAGCCTAGTTAGAGTCCCTGGCTACACTTTGTGGTGTGTTCTCACGCAAACCGCAGTGAGATTTCTAACGTGACCGGAAATCAGCTGAAGAGCAAAAACAACTGCTGTTGAACTGAAGATGAAGCACATTTAATTTTTGTTTTAGAAATGACAACTAGACAAAGAAAATCAATGCGGAGCTGTACAAAATTCACGCCTTTGAATGTTTCTGTCTTGTTTGTTGTCAATTTTCTGTTTTAAAAGGGTTATACTCCAAAGCTATGCTGGCTTTGCTAGATTTAAAAATAGATCTGAATTAGTGCTGAAACAAAAAAATTTGGAGTATTCATAGTTAAGCTATATTTGAAGATGTCAAACACAACAAAAAAATATCTACATTTTGCAGTTATCGTGAAAAAAACTATCTGAAAATATGTTCTACCCAGACGTCCTCAAGCGGAGTAGTTTTAGCTTCATCTGGTTCAGAGGATGTTAAAAAAAAGTCTCATTAAGCATCTTTTGTGCTCCAGTTATTAACCACTTAATAATAAAAAAAAAGTATCAACAGATCAGCACTACACTTTATTGATGTTAAGTGAACCCAAAAGAGTTATCCTATTCGCATGTTTATGTTAAAAGTATTTTTTAAGCTGCAGATCTTTTTCTACGAGAATTCTAAAGGAATTTTAAGTACAGAAATATTTATTTTCTTATTTTAAAAAAATGGAAATGAATTTTCTCATGTATTTCTGATATTTTATAAATTAATCTAAAAGAGAAATGTGCAGAATGTGGCAATTTATTTATTTATCAGATAACTATTCAATTACTGAAATAATCGTTAGCTGGAGCCCTAATATGAGCACAGTGATGAAGCCGGTTATAATGTGTTTTCAATTTTAAAGTGAGCCAAATTATAAAATTCCAACGTCTGTCATTTCATCACAATAAATACAGATATGTTAAATATCCATCCCTAATTAAACAGCTTCTAAACTCTCTCATGGCTCTTTCTCATCTTGTCCACACAGACCCGTCCACGATTATCATTCAAGAGGCGTCCGCCTACAAGACAACACAGAAGGTCAGCTGGAGAGGAGGCAGGTGCTACAAGTGACCATTCCCCGTGTGAACTGGACGCCCCGAAAGAAAATGGGAACAAGGACCAGGTGTTTGAGAATCTAACGGAGGAACCTGAATCCAAGCAGCTGGGCAGCGTAAAAGAAGCTGAAAACAAAGAGAAGGACTTTGAGAAGATTGAGGCTGAGGTGGCACAGTCTGACCCAGACGACAGACAGGATCTGGAGCAGGAGGCGGAACAAGACCTACCTGCAGAGGCTTTGCAGGAGGGACAGGAGCCTTTACAGTCTGACGAGAAGAGGGCGGGGGACGTTGAAACAGAAAAGGAGCAGGACGAGACGCCTCAAGTGGCAAAACAAGAAGAAAACGACAATATGTGAACTATAAAAGTCTTTTCTTTCTGGAAAAATAACATACAAATAAGTCTATAAATGCATTCATTAGGAGAACTACCATATTTAAGAGTTGATCTATTTAAAATATCTCCGCCATTTGATTTTAAATGACTCTGCTGCCCTCTACTGGCTGTCTTTAGAACAGGTCTTTTCTGCACTGGACAGTTGAGAAAAGCAGTTGTTTGGAAAACAGCTGTGGAAACATGGAAAGAAAAATCCTCACTTATACCTGATCATGGGAAATATTTGTTAAATTTGCAAAACCCTCTTTTTGCGGAACATTTTTTTTTTAAGTTCAAGTCTTTGATACGAGTTCAGCCCCACCCCTCAGGCCTGTCATATATGCAGTACAGAGAGTAACATTAAATAATAGGATGGATAAATGTATAAAATACCAGAGACTAGATTAGGGCTCTACTTTTATATATGTACGATGGTAAACTAAATCACTTTAAATTGATTGTCCTTAAAAATACTGTATATGTTGGTTTGTGTGCAACAAAATGTACAAATGTTCTGACCCTTATGAATATTAAAGTAAAAATATTTCTAAAATCTTTCAAATTACAGTGCCCTAGACAATTATAAAGACTCCTGATTGTGACGGATTAAAAGCCTTAAAAGCCTTGGATTATTATCCTGCTGATAGATCCAATGAAAACTCAATGTCATTTCTTTGGTAGAGTTCACTGATTTTGAAATATCAAAGAGCCGGTGATGAAACACATTCCATCATTGTCCCCAAGGCTGTTGGAAGAGAAAAAGGCCCACTTCATGCCAGATCCACCCCTGTACCTAACATTGGGCAACATATTCCTGTTCGCTTTTGCCACAGTAAAAACTGGAATAACAAGCACCACTTCAACCAAAGTTTTGAAATCAGGGAACATTTCTCCAACTGAAGTGATCAGAAATCAGTAAGACCTCCTGGATAGCAAGATTCCACCAAGTCTAAAGAAGATAGACAGACCCACACAATGACAGGTCCTTCACTTTTCCTTGCAGTGAAAAATTATGTCCTTTTTCAATGAAATGATCATGTTTTACCAGTTTTTATTTTAATATCAGTATCAGTATTTTAAAGAACCTATGATGCCATGATGCTCTCCGAGGGTCTGAATCGAGGAGCATAGCCCCATTGTATATCGATCCTCCACTACACTGGAAATGACGTCATTTTTAACTCTTTCCTCCTTTGTTTGCAGCCAGCCATACATCTAGTTGGCATGAAGTGGTTATAACTTAGTGACCATGGGTTCAATCCCCATACTGGCCGATTGAAACAAAGTCTTTCAGAAAATCAACACTTCAAATTAGTAGAAGGCTTTAAATTAAACCATTATGCAAATTGATTTTTGAAAAACATTGGCTTTTGTGACTTTTGTCAAGATCATTTAAGTTTTTCTTAAATTGATGAAAATTCAACCTTATGTACGGCCGGTTAGCTCAGTTGGTCAGAGCGTGATGCTAATAATGCTGAGGTCATGGGTTCAATCCCCATACTGGCCAATTGAAATCTAAAGTTTTTCAGACAATCAACACTTACAAATGAAAGAAAAAACTTGAGATTAAAATCAACACTTCAAAATAAAACATTGCTGGAAAATAAAATCAATCACTGGTGATTTGAAAATCACTTCTTCAAAGTAACTTTAATTGGCTTGCTTCTTGAAAAAGTAACTTAGATTACTGATTACTTGATTTGGAAAGTAACTAAGTTACATCTAAAGTAATTTTTTAGTTACTTTCAGCAGCTGCTAATAACGCTCTGCCACCTATGAAAATTACATTGAGTTTTGCCGATACTTAATTGCAAGTTATTTTATAAAGATAACAACAATACAGCTCCACTTATAAGGTTGAACTGAAGGGGAGATTGTATAATGGTTACAACAGAACAAAAAAAACTTTAGTAATTTGTACGTTTTTGTGTGTTCCACTATTCTCCACATAACAGTGGTATCACGGGCCACAATATCTTGTAGAAGAAAATGTATCGATCCTCCTTTGGTAAATGTTTTGTTTTTCCTTAATACCTAAAAACAGAAATAAAATTGTGATTCTTGAAAAAAAATCACCACAAATTTCCCATAGTAGATATTCAAGTTGTCTTTTCACGAGAGGTTATGCAACATTTTCTGACTGTTTTATTCAGCTGGACTGAGCGGCGTCTTTGGTTTGTAAAGGTTGCAGACCCCTGGACTGGACACACCTGCCCACACTTAAACACCGTTACCACCAAAGGTTTGTCTGGTGACAGCAGTGGCTTAAACATGGCGCTCTCTTTGGCGTCTCCAACATTGTTGATGGCTATCATTTCTTCTTGGCGTAAATCAACTTTTACCAGAGAACAGAATGGAGTTTGCTGGTCCCTTGTCTGTGTGTGGTGGTGCGGTCTGGTACCCGTGAAGGTTGTCCAGTAAGCGTTACATGCTAATATAAATGGTTTCGACCGATCTGACGTGTCTTTCAACTCCCTTAAATGTGCTTGAAGTTGAGTAGCATTCTTCCTCATTCATCAGTGTGGGATGTGGCCATAGGACATCCACTTCTGTGTGTTTCTGTGATTTTTCCAGTGTTTCTGTATCTCTGTTGTAACCTTATGACACTCTGTGACGCCCTAACCTCAGTGGCCACTTCCGTCTAATTACATCCTGCCTGAAACCCTACAATGGCGAGGCACAGTTGATCATCTGCTAAGTGTCGTCTTGGTCTCGTGATGTCAAAGAGCGATGATGAGGAAATTTATTGGTTGATTCCTGGTTAAAACACCTGCTGTGAATTTTGTCGTTAAGCTCCATATTACAGAAAAGGAAGTGGCGCAAAGAGGACTGACACATTGAACAGTTGGACATGAGCACTCAAAGGTTTAGAGAAGGTTCTCTAAACTCAAAGGTTTAGAGAAGGTTACATTAAGTTCACCTGTGAAGGTTGTAGCACATTTTGGCTTCATCGTGTAATTTCACCCTACCTTGTATGAGTAATAGATAACATGCCTGTTTGTGTTTCTAACCTAAATAAGATTTGGTAATGTCACGTGAGATTAAGTCATACATTTATCCTGCATTTCACGTAGTTAGGTAAATATTTGTAAATTCCTAAGCAGACAACTGGATAATATAAGATGATTTTCTTTAAAGCTTAAAGTGCTGATTTTCATGAGTATTTTCTTCATAGAGTGAGTAACCAGCGACTTGTTTTGTGAAGATGATAGAGTTCATATCTTGTGTTGTTATTCCTGGAATCTGCTGGAGTCTTTCTTCCAGTTAGAGGTTACTGTCTCAAGGTTTCACATGAACTGTGAAGCTACTTCCAAGTATGACCTTACTCAACTTTTCTAGTTCTGATTTTAAGCTCTGTGTTTTCTTTTCAAGAGTTCAAGTTCCTTCTTAGTGTTTCTGTGGTGTCAGTTGCATCATTTGTCATTCTGCTGTCTTCTGTCTTTTTTTTTTTTTTTTAAGCAATAGAAGGTTTCACCATAACAAACGTGTCTGTTTGGATGTTAGCTCTAACTGTGACTTTAACTGTGGGACTCCAGCTCCTACTTGGCATGTTTCTACATGTTTGTACAATTGCAGACAGTTTCTCACTGTGTCATGTTCTGGTCTGTCTTTGCACAAGCTGCTCTGGATGTCCTGTCTATCTACAAATCTGTTTGATAAAGTAGGGTACAGATATCTAAAATCCTTTAAAAATATGTTGTCTATGTTGGTATTTATTAGATTTATTTGACACAGAAAACTACATAATTCTGTTCTTTCAAAGCATGTTCCTGAATAACTAAACAGCCAAATGTTTTGTAGATTGTGTACAAATATTCATGATAAACCAGCCAGACGGCTTCCTGCAACAGGGTGCTCTTCACTGTACATGTATTTAGCCAATATATTCCTACATATTTTTAATTTCTAAACTCAATACCATAACCAATTCCACACTCACATTTCCTTAGTGATGGGTCCAGTTTTTGCAAAAAAAAAAAAAAAGTACTGGCCTACATTACAGCACGTTTTTTAATGGTTTTATGTGTATTATATGTTATAACCATAACATATGAGACTGGCGACAGTCACACACAAACAAAAACTGATTAAGGCATAGAGACAGGGTGAAATGAGGAGAAGATAAAAGCAGAACTCGTGCTGCAATCTTTTCTACACTCTGTGTCACCCTTAAGGTGTGCTGAGTGGGGCCCAGTGCTGGACAGTGAATGTGACTCTGTATCTGTCCAGTTTGTAACATTTCATTTCAACTGGAATTCAGAAGTACTTTATTGATCAAAAAGGGAAATTAAATTTTATCATTTTGGCATCTCAAGGTAATGACTGAGGAGTTTTGGTCAGGTCACAGAACTGGTAAACACAGCTGGGTGTTGCATAGAAGGGGAAAAGCGTGCAGCACAACAAAGGTGAGTTACCTTCTGCTGGACAACTGTCTAATCAGCATTTCTCCTTTTGTGTACATCATATTTTTGTGCTACATGTCATTTTTATTCATCTGTGATATTTTAGTTTGTTGAGAAAGTAAACTTAAAGTTTTGTTAAGCTGTAAAACATAATTATCAAAATTAGCAGAAATGCTTGAATTAGTTTAACATTTTGTACTGGATTACTGAAATAAATTAATTTACAAATAACTTAAAATTATTTAGACGCATGTGTAGAGACAGTAGTTCGTATTTCCGACCCGACTTTCAAAAAACACCGGAGTTGTGTCATTGTATTCGTGTTGATTGATGAAGAGGCTTCCGTACCGCCTCCCAAGATCATCGGCCCATTCAGGAAAAGTCGCCCGACAACAATTCGGACGAAACTGAAACGACTCACCTGACAGACAGTACGAGAAGGGAGGACCTGGGAAAGAAGTCACTTTACCCCCAACCCCGAGGAAACGCTGCCCTCAGCTTCGTACTGAACATAAAAAAATTGTCTTTTGTTGACGGTCGGCGAGAACTTCTTTTTTTTTTCTTTCTTTCTTTTTTTTTTTTTTTTACTTTTTGAACCGGGACTGATACGTTTACGGTCCCACGGAGAGAGTTCTTAGTTGACACCGTTTAACAGGCGCTTCCGGGTCTGCTGGGAGGCTAAAACCACGGAATGAAAACTGAGAACATTCCGTTGGAAGAAATTAAGATAAATTTGGACCAAAAGGTACGTTAGTAAAATAATAGGTATTTCAAATTACTATCCGTTTTAGTTCTCCTGTCTATAAGCCTCTCTGACAAGAAAAGTATTTTAATTATCTAATTACTATAATAAATGTTCTAATTATAAAATGATTTCTCTAGCAGAAATATTTATTTGACTAATAAACTTTAGGCTCATGTCAGGCAAGTTGACAGGTGGGGGCGTGTGATCGCCTTCCACTCAGTCTAGTTTCTTACGTCACAGAGATGCAGTATTTAGTTAGTTGCTGTGTCTTTTTTTAGGAGACGGAGGTCAGATAAATTTTCCCAAAGAGTTGTATGATAAAATATTGCATTGAAAGAACATTAAAAGAGTTTTCAAATTGTACAAATATTATTTCTGTGGGTTTAGATATAAGAACATTTGAAAAACTGAATGGGACCATTTTAAAGCTGTAACAACAAATCACGCAATGTCTGGATTTTAAATGGGGTATTTTAAATATGGTTTTGAAATGTTCAGCACAAATGTTTGATTTGATGAATAAAAATTGGCTTATTGACTTATTCTAGCCTTTTAGGCACCAAAAAGGCATGCAAAATCTGATGTTTGTAAGCATAAACCTCAAAAGAAAAAAACACATGGGCTTGTATTCTGTTTTACATGAAACTTTAGAGCGGAATACAAATTTGGATCTTGCTTGCATTTTCCATAAATCAAAATGGTTGATTTATAGCCTTTTTGTAGTATAGCAATATGCTTAGTTAAAAAAAATGAACAAACAGAAAATTTGGTTCAGTTAAGAAAATCCCACTGGTCATTTTTGTTAAATCAAACAGAGTTTTATAGGACCACTTCTGAAACAAGCACTCACTAGGTGGTTAACAAGAATGTGCAAAATATATATTCTGAAGCACTTGAAACTCCGAGCGCTTCTGCAAACTCACTAATAGGAACATACTTACTCAATATCACTCTCAGAGCCCATTCTCTTGTGATCACAGGATTATAAAACCCCTGAACATCTATCCTAGTTTTTGATTTTAGTGTGCTGCCAATTTTGGCCACTCATTTTGGTATGTGATTATTAGCAGTCACACCACCTGGACGTCTGTTTGAAACTGTTTTGGAAGCCACCCTTCTTCTTCTGACATTTTCCTGACACAACCATAATTTACAATGACAAAAAGACAGCAATGGAAACAACTATTTTGTGTTAATAATCAATATTTTTTGTAAACTCTTAGGATGGTCAAGATAGTGAGGCCAGTGTGAAAAAAACTTTGCTTCCACAGGTGAGTTTTTGTCACTGTTTGTTGTTTTTCTTCTGCATTACCTTATTTTTTAATAGTTTGCAACAATTTCATAAGAATAACATTAGCAGATAAATACAATGAAGTTGATAGGAAATCCATTTACTTTAGTCATTTTAAGATCTTGAGCAGAAAAAGAACTTAAGTTTCAATCTATAGTTAGCAATCTGTTGTAGATATTCAGATGCTAGCTATGCAAACCATCGGTAGGTAGGGATAGATCAAATGATACGCTTGCAAAAACTGCAGCTTTTCTGCAAGTGAAAGAACTGCAGTGTGATACTACATACAATATAGTGGTTTAGACAAAAGATCACACACTTTTGCAGTTGGAAAATAAAAAATTTACTAAGGCTATACATTTTTTATTCTTACTTCAAGTGTAAGAAACCACACATACCAAAGATAGAACTAATGTTAAAATAAAATGGAAACGTTTGCAATGATTTGCTAAAACTAAAAGCTGGTTAAACTGAACTGCTATAACCTGGATTACCAAACAGGTAATATTTGGGGGAAAAGATGATAATCAAATTAAATTAATACACATTTAAAACATAATATGGAAAGATAACTGAGACACAAGTATAATATAAATAAATATGGCTTTCTAAGTCTGATTATAATGATATTTGTCAAGTGTGAATATTGACATTAGCTAAAATTTGTTTACGCTATCTACTTAGCATATACAATGCTAAGGCTATCTTTGGTGAGCAAACCTTTATCATGAGCTAAACTCATCATCACAAACCAAAATTACAGGAAAACCTAATGTATAAATAATAGGTTATAGCGTCCTTGCCTGTTTGTAGTGACTTTATGGCCAATTCTTTGGTCAAAATGTGAATGTTCAGCAATGCTAGCCAGTAACAAATGCTAACTGCTTAACAGGTGAAAGGTTAAAATCATGGAGTGATCAAACATTCTCTAACATCAACACAACTCCAGTTTGTAAGCAAACCTAAACCCCACTTAGAACAGCTACTTAATCTGTTAGTGTTAACTTTATGACTGAATCTGCTTTAAATGTGAGTGATGTTGATCTGTTAGCTAAACAAGAGACATATAAACCACTTTTCCTTTTGTCAGAGCAATAATGGGGGGGAAACAGGCATGAAATCAAAGCATAACAACAGGACAAGTCCACAGGTAGGATCATAACGTTGCTCCTCATTAGCTTTTTCTTCTTAATGTTTGCTTTAAGTAACAGTGAACCCCCATTTTAACAGATGTTATTTGTTTTTTGTACTTTCAGAATTGTTTAAGCTGCAGAGGAGAGAAATGCAAAAAACTGATTGCTGCCATCATTGTCATTCTCCTTATAACAGTTGTGATTGTCATCTCTGTGTTTGTGTGCTGCGGTATGAAGTCTAAGCTTACTGTTTGTTGCAAAAACACAATTTCTTTAAAAGCTAAAGATATTGTGATATTTATCTAGGTCGCGTACATACACACTCAACTTTTAGTTTGGTTTACTTGTTGACTATTTGTAATTATTTTTCAGTAACTCACAGTGTTTCAGCTTTACGTGTCTAACACTGTTTTTCTTTAAGCAGCAAACAATGTCGATGAGGATGAAATTTTTGACCGAACAACCTTTAACCTACAACAGAAATTTAATGGGAGCTTCCAGATGCAAACTCCATTTTCAAATGAAACCCAAGGTCTCAATGACGTTCAGAGAAAGGTTAGTGATATTATCATAAATTTTATTTCCAAGCCAAACATGGTACCCAAGACACAGATAAACAACAAGACGGCTGCTGCTTTATCTATGTATCTGCCTCTCTTATGCCCTTTTTTTTCTCTACTTCTTTGGTAAAAAAAAAAAAAAAATGATGGGATCATTACAGGTTTTTACTAGAAACTAAATAGAAAATAAAGCAAAGTTTTTTTTTGTTTTATTTTAAAAGTATCTTTCTTTATTATGATAAACACAATACTGTCTTTCATTTGTATCATCTTCACATGCATAGGCAGCCCAAGGCATATGAGAGTTGAGCAGCCCACACCACCAGGGGTCCCCCAAGACCACCAGACTAGCACGATAAATAAACTAAATGCTATTGCAAATGGAGAAACTATTTTTATGTTATTTTTATAGTTGCTACACAATAGCTTGATATCTTCCTGCTGCTGGCTGCTGCCACTGCTGGGGAAATATAATAAATCAAATGTGTTAACTTGTTTACTATAAATGTAGTGTTTATCAGCTGATGTTACTTTCAAACAATTAAAATAATATGGCACACTTAAATAGCACTCTGCATTTCAAAATCCAATTTTATTTTAGTTTGCTACTTATGTAAGGTTAAAGTCAACTGTCATAATAACACTGGTATGATGTAGACTAATTACAAATGATGCTATTAATAGTGGGTACATTATGATAAAGAATCTGGTGTTGACATGTAGGTATGGGGACCCTAAAGACAATCTGCCTTGGGCCCCAAAAAGGCTTGTGCTGGCCCTGCAGACAAAGCTCCTGTCTCTGTGTCTGCAGAGCTCTTTTCTTCATCTTCTCCTGACTGTCACAGCTCCTGTCCCTCCCTTCCGGAGAATGGGATTAAACTTCCTTATATGGTCTGAACCTTCAGTCCTAGAGAGGTGCAGTCTAAAAGCTCTTTTCTGATCTGCTCTGAAAAACAACCAAAACCATTTATGTTTAATTCTTTCAAGAAATGTTTGGGGTTTTTTGTTGTATTGCAGACACAGTATTTTATTGTGTTTTGCAGTACTTTTAAATAATTGCAGAAATAAAGCACAGCTGTCATTTTTTATAAAGAAAGTCTAGGTTGCACTGGACTGGCTCTCCAACTAACACTACATTCCTATTGTTTCTTTTTGCATGTTTCTACCTGCCCCACCCAGCTGACTGAGCTCTATGAATCCTCCCATGCTCTGGGTCGTTTCTTCTCAAACGCTGAGACATTTGGCCTCGGGTAAACACACAAGCTACTCAGTGGTTATTGCACTATAGTCTTCCCTGTGTTGCATGGCATGTTATGCTTTGTGCTGAAGCTAACCAGTGCTTCCCTCTGCCTGCAGGAGTGAGTCTGCTGTCGTTCAATACCAGCTGGAATTTATCTTTCCAGAAGAGGAGCTTAGAAACTCCATTCTTAGCAGAGAGATGGTGTACAATGTGTTCAGGCAGTTCCTCTATGATCAGAATGAAGATGAATCTGGGACTATGTTCATTGTCCCAAGTTCCTTGGAAATGCACACCATGCATTAATCAGATCTTGAAAAATGAGCTCTTGTAAAACCATTGAAACCGGATTTCCAGGATGTGATTTATTTTTTAACGTAGTGGCCTAGAGACAGTTGACTTGTCAGCTGTTGTTCACCACACAAACTGAGCCACTGCCCATGTGAATGCTCTCACACGACCAGATAGCATAAACCACATGGTTGTTATACATTTATGATTTTTATGTACTGTAATGTAGATTTTCTTGTGTATTGCCATTGTTTTTAAGCTCCAAAGGTCTTTGTTAAAACCTCAGATGTCGTATATTGATGTAGCAGAAATGATGAAGTGGGTACACACACTCCTTTGCATACACGTTCAGTTTCCAAGCAGACATCATTTGCAAACTGTAACTGGACTTGCCTTGAAACATTTGCCTAAAGTGGAACAAACACTAAAATAACCAGGTGCAGAGAGACAAAGAGCTATTTTATTTGCCAAATGATGAACTTATTGACCCAAGTGTGCCTTATAATGTTCTTTCATTCATGTGTGCTTTGTGACAAATATTAAATATTTCAGCTGTTTTATTAATTCAGGTTTTATGGGTTTTTTTGTTTTTTTTTACAGCATTTTAGTATTTTTATGAACAACAGAGGGGGTAGGTGTGCCTCACCAGGGGTGTGTGTGTTTTTACCTTTCAGTAACTAGATATCGTTCACTGAATGAGGTTGTAGAGAAGGTTATTCCAGTTTATTATTGAACTTGTAAATGTTTAACGCCTTGAGCAAACACAGCGGTCTCAGTTAATCAGTTTGTAACCCTATCCTCATGCTTCATCTCAGAGGGTCACGTTTTAGAAGTGGAACCATTTGGTTGAAGATCATTCCAGGATAAGATCTTGCGGGTTTAGGAGATTTTAAAAGCACAGAATCCTTTAATAATCCCCCTGTAGACTGTACCACAGATTTTTGCCTAACAATAAAATATGCCATTTACGAGAATTTTAAAGCAATCTGCTGCAATTTTTGCAGTCGTCATTATAAAATAAGATGAGTAGAAGAGGGAAAAATGTATGTTTCTTGGAATTTTCGAAGCTGAAGCAATATCAACTAAATATGGAAGCAATCTAATCCAGCATTGTAAGGCAAAGTCTAACCCTCACCCCGGAGGGAGCAATCCACCAATTTTTGAGATGCTCCCAGAAGGAGCTGGAGGATGTTGTTGTGAATAGTGTTTTCCGAGTCTCCATCCTGCCCCTGTGATCCCATCTCAGATATGTGGAAAGTCCGGTCTTTTTTGATCCTCCATTTTTCAGACACCATACGTGTTTTTGCAGCTGCTTCTTAACAGAACCACTCCCAGAATCTTTTGTAAGGAGCGGCCAAATGGTGCTCATTACAAAAGGAGCAACATTGTAGCAAGAGACCAAAACTGAAAGTTAAAACAGGTTAAACACCTACACAAATACACAATGGGCCAAAATCAGACAAAGTTGATAAGCAGCCTTGATATTAATGTGAAAGATTTTTATTATACTTATTTGTTATGTGTACGTTGGCTCCGCACACAATACACACAGGTCTATTCTTCAGCTTTGTGGACAGATATTGTATTCCTCACCTGTCTAGAAAGCTTCTGTTTGTCAGGATCGGTAGTTTTCTGTGTTTATTTTTGAGTAGTTTCCATGTTTATTTGTTATCCTGTTTCCCTGTGAGTCTCTGTCTGCGTTTCCCCGTTGATTGTTCCCAGGTGTGTTTCGTTCCCTTGTTTACTTCCCTTTGTATTTAAACTCACCTGTAGTCTTTGTCTCTTGTCGGGGCCTCGTCTAACGTCTGTTTCTGTCCCCTGTGCTGCCAGTGATTTTGGATTTTGAGTTGTTCTCCTGGTTCTTCATTAAATCATAATTTTCATCATGACTACCTGGGTTCACCGGCATCTCCCTCACCACTCACAACTAAACATCATGACACTGTTTACCTTTCATTTGGCTGCTTTTCACAAGGATGATGTAACTGGAACGTGGAGGTATGTCGTTTTAGTGCTGGATGTTCTGTTCACCAGCATGGCAACTCCAGTAGACCTTTGAGTGAAATATATTTTTATGATGTATACTGTATGTGTTTTAACAATCATTTTAAGCCCACACAAAATGTATAACGGGAGTTAAAATACCCCTAGCTCCCATATGTTTTGACCTAAATATTCAGATATCATCTGAGATTTGCTATGTAACAGAGTGGTTGGCTTTCAAAGAGAGGCACTATTAAAGAAAAAAAAAATAGAAAGTATATTTGTGTACACCTTAAATAATATTGCAACTCATTCTTTTTCTCTTAAATTCATCCATAAAGACATTATTCTATGACTGTCAGGCTCTGAGATGACTTGGAGCGAGAGGCCATTGTTCCCCCTGAAATTCCCCAAGTGGTGCCATTGCTGCCAAAAAGAAATGACGTCTCTTTTAAAACAGAAAGTTATGCAATAGCTCATTTGGAGTGTTCTTGCATATATTAAAATTTCAGGGTGATGAGGCAATAGTAGTGCTATTTGAAGAAATATAGTTGCTATTCACCAATTTAATGAACTATTATTCTCCGTATTAATCAGAGGTGCCCAAATCCCTGCCTAGCACGCTACCATCCTGCAACTTGTAGACACATCCACTCTCCAGCACACCTGAATGAAATGAGTGGCTCCGTACCAGGCCTTTGCAGAGCTAAAAATATGCCGATTAGGAAACTAAGAGATGCATCTCAGTTGCAGGACTGTAGCCTTGAACTTGGGCACCCCAGTCCTTGTCTTGACAAAGCCGACAAATAGACATTGAAGACAAGGAGAGATCTCCGAGCAGGTTCTCCAAATGGTGAGTTGGTAAAAATATTCTACCACGCATTTTTCCACAAAACTCAAAAATCTGTCAGAGTTCCCTCGCCTCATTTTCTCCTGGTCACCTTGAATTATTGACATGAAAGCATCTAATTCTTTGGCAGCGGTGCAAGATCAACATTGACTCTGGCTGTCAAACCTATTTTGAGAATTGTCAGCCACCCAAAGCCAGATTTACTCAGCTGAGCTCCCTGAGCTTTCATAGCCTTATTACAAACAGCAGAGGTTCATCTGAAAGCTGCCATGAATACTTCAACACTGGATTCAGGAGTCTTCAATTCTTATCCACCTGGGACCCTAAAACTGATGGAGAGCCTGAGCAAGGGCCCATGTTTGTCATTTCATAATAAACTAGAGTTATAAATGTATAAAATGTGCATTACTTCTGGGCATTTAATACAAATAACATGTGGCTTCTTTACTTCCTGTTTTTATATTTATATATGTTTGAATACAAACATGATTGTTTAATAATGCCACTGCCATTAACAAATGGTCTTATTTTGCATATCACACTGAACGTTTAACTCAGTAAATGGCTTTTTGCTTACAGCATGTGTGCATTTCTGACTGAAATACATTTTTATGTTTTTTAACTACATGTCAGTCATGAGATATGAATTTGGAAAAATAAAATGTCTAATCTGTAGGGCTTATGACACCTATGTTGATATAAATAGTTTTGTTACTTATTGCAACCTCATCCTCTTAATGTTTTTTCATTCAATGCTGTTCAAAAGTATTTGTAACCTTTGGACTTTTTGAATTTTTGCCATATTACAGCAACAGACCTCATGCATAACTGTGAGGAACTGCATTTGTTGCTGTTTCTTCTTTCAAAAATATCAAGATTGTTAACCAGATTTTTGTCTGGACTTTGACTAGACCAATAAGACACGGAATCTTGCTGCCAAGCATGGAGGAAGATTCTCTCTCTCTCACTCTCTCTCCTTCTCTCTTTCCCTCTCTCCCACAATTCAATTAGGTTACACCAGATAATGACATTTATTTCCGCTTTTGTTTTTAACCTAATGTCCTGAGGTTCTTGGAAGCCTCAGCGCTTATCCAATTAAAGTGTTATCTCTCCTTTGGGCTTAAAGATTAAGTGTAAACTCTGCAGTGGGTTTCAGACAAAAATCACAGGTGCCATCTTCTCTGTGCATTGGTTTCACCGCCGCTTCTCTGCGGGATCTGTGACCAAAACAAAAATCACAATCCTAAAAAGGAGTGATGGGCTCCTACAGCTCAAACCTGGATGATATCTTGGAGGAGGACATGCATCACTGGTACACAAAGTTCATGAGGGAATCACCATCAGGACTAATCACTCTGTTTGAGCTGAAGACGATGCTCGACATGAACGGCATGACGGAAGAGGCCAACGGTTATGTGGACCAGGTGTTCTATACCTTTGATATGGACGGGGTAAGAAAAAACATTTCTGCTTACCTACCTTTAATGACTTAATCTGAGCAACATTTACAGCCTAAATGATAGATAAAATAGACTTCTGTTTCAACAAAGTGCAAAAGAATTTGATTCTAAATTTTAGGATCTTGCCTAAAGAAAACATGAATGTGCAGCACACGAACGGATGCTTATGTTGTCTTTGCTTTTCTCTCCAGGATGGCTATTTAGACTTTGTGGAATACATCGCAGCTATAAGTTTATTGCTGAAGGGAGAAGTAAATCAGAAATTAAAGTGGTACTTCAAGCTTTTTGATCAAGATGGAAATGGGAAAATTGACAAGGATGAGCTGGAAACTATATTTAAGGTAAGGCTTGCTCTTTAAGGATATTTAGCAATCATATTCTAACGCATGCAGAGCATGGCCTCTGGAATCCTTAAAGCTATTACCAGATCCTGAAAGGGACATGACATCTAATCTGAGAATCTCTTACATCATCAGAGGGCTAAATATGGCGTTACCTAACAGAGCAGACAGGACAAATTCTTGTACATTTAATCATTAATTCAATATTTATTTATTGTGAAATGTACTTTCATTTAAAGTGCATTTTAGGCTAAAAGGACATAAATCCATTATTTAACTTATTAGAGTTCATAGTTTTTTGTTTTTTTTCTTCAACTCAGATGTCACTGTTTTAAACTAAACTGATGTGCTGCAAACTTTAAAAGCTGCTGTAAATTCTCCTTAACAGGCTATTCAAGATATCACCAGAAGTTACGAGATACCTCCAGAGACAATTGTGACTCTTATATACGAGAAAATTGACGTCAAAGGAGAAGGTAACACATTACAGTAATTACACCGCTTGAGCTTGTCTTAGTGGGATTATAGGTGATGGAGCAAAACAAAGTAATGTATAGCCAACAAGTGGACAAAGTTTTTTTTGTTTGTTTTTGAACATCTATAAAGGGAAATTCTTATCTAATCTTATTTGTAAGCAGTTTCTGAAATGGAGTAAGGTCTGGACTGTGTTTGGGTCATTCAAAGACAAAAATATGTGTTGGTATACCACTGGTGTCCAAACTTTAAAATCTGCAAACTGTAAGCAAATTAAACTAAAATGTGCCATTTTGCCTTTTAGATTCTCAACAATAATCTAATATTCTGATGAAACAAGAAAGCAATATAATTTTTTTGAATATGTCGATTTATGTTAAGAGAGATAACTTCCTCTTTTAGAGTTTTGTTTCAGTCTATTCTCAGTCACAAGGCTGAGAAATGGGTATTCTTTCTGCTGCTTGCTGCATTTGGTTTCAATAATTGGTTCCCCAAAGTCTGATTTTGAAGCAGCTGCTGGATGTTTTTCTATATTATTTAAGGCTGTAGTTGTTAAATTAAACATGGTTTATGAAAGTAAGATACTTTTAAGTGCCTAATGGTTAGCATTTTAAAAAGATAAAACATTTTCCAGGGAAAACCATGACTTGTATTATAATTGTCCATTTGCCTACGGTAAAGGGGTAATGTATAGATCAGCTGCACTCTTTTTAGAAGATGTCACTCTAACCAAAAGTGGCTTAAAGTTTCTGAAATGAAAGTGAACCTAATTATTTCTAACTACACAGTACCCATACATATGTAAGACGGACTTCTCATTTCTATTTTCATTTCCTCAGGTGAACTGACGCTGGAAGAGTTCATCAGTGGAGCGAGGGAGCATCCTGACATCATGGACATGCTCACAAGAATGATGGATCTCACACAAGTCTTGGAAATCATAGTCAAAGGTCAAAGGAGGAACGCCGTGAATTGAGATGTGATTCCACAAGCTGGATTTTTGCTGAGTTATGCATTGTAAATAATAATAATTTAAAAAAAACAAGACTGTCCTTGAAGGATTTGGACTTAATCTCTGCCAGCAACAAACTAAGTGGCTGACATGTCACTTTTAACTCGGACTGTGCTTGCAGAGCTTTTATGGTTTTGATTAGGGAATAAAACATTTTTTGCAACAGATTTTGCTTGAGGACTGTTGGGGAAACTTTGAGTCGTGGTTCCAGGTTGTGCAAATTATGGAGTAAATTATATGCATTTTTAACTAGTCAGTTCAAAGCAAACATCTTGAGATCAAACTGAATTCTGAACGGTTGTGCTGAATTCATTACATTTTTCTGTTGGTTGTTGAAGTTAAAAAATACAAACAGTACCTAGAGGTGCAGCAAGCATAAAAGTTTTCTGTACACTGTTAAAAGTCATGCCCTCCTTTAGTTGACATAACGTTTTTATATAAGTTACCTCCAATTAACATAA